CAGCAATGCACATCCATGATCCTTCCTCGTGGGATCCGAACCCAGAACCTATCAGTCTCGCGCGCGAGCGCTTAACCACTAGGTCATGAACTGGTCGGCATCCAGCGGTATTGATGTTTAACTCCAACCAACGAAATTGAGCAACACATCCGCCATTGTCTTCAGTGAGTTACTATCTCACAACAGACATGGTTGATCATTTTCATATGAAAAATAGCAGGTAAGTCGTAACAAAGAAGAAAATAAAGTACACAAAAACAATGTGATGACCATTCTGAATAGTAAGCCAGTATTACTAAGGTAAGAATAAACTGTTTTTGAACACATAAAAGGGCGTTTCAATCTTCTTATAGTCAACGTTTCAATAAACTTTAGTATACACCCTTGAAAACTTTTGTATAAAACTACAAAGTCGGACTTGATATTAATCGGCAAGACTATAATTTATGAACGAACCAATCAGATTTAGGATAACAAGTCATGGATTTTAGTGCAAAATTTACTCACTCATTCATCCAATTAACGTCTTGGCATTTTAACTGATGTCAATTTGTGATAAAAACCATCAATTGTAAATCATTATCTTTATTCCTCAAATTATTTTACAACCTTCATTTAGCCCTATTAAGCAGGTAGATACTCTCAATGGTCACTTTGGCGTCATTCAAAGGTTGTCTATAAATTATAATCTCACCTATCAATCTTATGACTAGTCTTAACCAAATGTTTCACAATGGAAGTAGATGTCTATTTGTCCTACGATCTTCTCAGTATAAAAACAAAATCAACCATCTTAGTTTAGTTACTTAAAAGGCTTAAATTTAATTAACAATAATTTAATATGATTACTGAATACTTAGTTTTAATGGAAATATAAGAAATACATTTACTAGTTTTATATTTAAATAATGGAACTATTTGGTTGGGAGGATATGTAATGAATTATTTCCCCATAGATACTAAATATATTTTTTTCTGTTTTTTTTTCTTTGAAAATTGAATGAAAATCTACTTATAGTATTTATCAGTAGGAGAAAAAAATTGTCTTAATTTTAGTCTGGAAAGTAGGACACCACCACCACCACCACCACCACCAACAACAACAACAACAATATCCCCGTCGTTTTAGCTTTATATTCTGTGTGTATGATTTTTAGCTGAATCTACGTGTAGATGATTTGTAATAGTCTATGTATATTTAATTGAACTAAATACAATAGTTTCCCATGAGAATCTGCTGAATTTTCCCTTGTTTTTTTGGTTTGTTTTGTTCATTCTCTATGGTAAAACAAAGTCATTTAACTCGCTAGATTAGAGGAAAATTTCATTGAATCGTTATACTAATCAGGTAAAATCAATGTTTGATTATACTTAAATTGTCATTTATATATTGAATGATGTTATCTTATGTATATGAGTTATATTTGAATAAGGAAAATTCAATTTGTGGTCATATGGTTGCTAATGATCAGTTGTAGTCCCAAACAACCATAGGAAGATTGAAACAAACCATATAAAATGAATTTAAGTTTCACCCCATTGCACAATTAAGTGGCTATCAGAATTCAGTAGATAAATGGATAACACGATTAGGTTTGAAGTGAGTGGTACTGGGTTCGAGTCCTCGAGTGGACATCAACTCTGAGATGGAAGTACATCCATCTAACGAGTCCCGAATGGGATTAGTAACACATAAACATTGATACAAGGAGGCACTGAATTCGTTTATTTCACATAAATCATTAGATTTGTATGAGGGCTGGGATACTACCCAAAGCGAACCATGTGGTTTTCTTAGGGGGCCATACCCCGAGCCTTCAACCTGTAGGTCTGATCCACAAGGCAGTGTAGCAACGTCTAGAGATGCAATCCCATGGTAGCCGGTGACCGATGGTTGGTTCATACGCAATTCGTTCTTTCAGGATACTGGATCCCATTTGGACCATTGGTTTGGAATGAGGGTTTTTCAACTCCCCTAGATGGACCTCCATATCCACCAATGTGGTTATAGCACCTGACATTCACTTTTTGTCCCCTCAATTTTGAAAACAATAGCAATGTCGCGAGAAGGAAGTGAGTAGGACTTGTGTGGTAGTGGTTGTATGCACGTAGCCGTGTGAGAGCATTTGGAGAGGGAGAGCTGACTCTCCTCACTCTCGGCCATACCAGGGCATTTAGGGGCTGCTGTTAGCCACCAACGAAATAAATATATTATATGATAGTTATCCTTCCTTATCCGTGGGCATGAAACAGAAAGAGAAAATCGTATGATGTGAGTTACTCACCGATTTTTAATATAAACTATACGATTGATATAATTATCAGATTTAATTAGACGAAATTGTATCAAAATGTAAGTTGATGACAGTGATATTATATACAGTATTATGAAGTATACAGTAGCAAACTATCAAAGTCTAATTATTTATAGGTCAGTTTTAGATAGATTTACTATGTTCCTTAATTACTTAGTACAGAACGTACACGATGTTGTACTTTTGAGGTTAATGTAGCTTGTTCTAAAATTATATTCATATACCATACGACAGTTCCTTGCTATCGTTTAACACTTTGAAATTTAGAAAGTTACGCATCACATCAACGAGTTATGGATCGAAAATTAGTTAGATGGTTCCAGAAGTTTTCCAGTCCATAAGAGAATTTATTCGGTTAAGCATTCCTTTTCAAGGAGTTTATCTTCAAAGCTGACATGTTTGATAAATTATAGGTTAATTACTAACTAAAGGTCTATTAAAATTTGATTGGCTGTCACGGGAAATATGAACATATTATTTATTACTTACTTACTTACGCCTGTTGCCTCTCTTGGAGAAGCAGAGACTGCCTTACAGCATTCTTCATTGAACTATGTCCTAGAAAATCTTTCCCAGTTATTTCCAGTTGCTATTCATTCTTCTGATGTCAGATTCCATTTCTCAACTCATCGTGTTTTTATTTGGCGTTCCTCTTTTCCGTCTTCATACAGGACAACAAGTCAGTGTTTGCTTCGTAGTGCAGTTTGATGATTTCCTCAACGTATATCTTATCGACTTCCAATGTCTTTTCCGAATTTCCTCTTCAGTTTAAACCTGGTTTATTCGCGCCTACATTAGGTTGTTATTGATGGTTTCCGGCCAACAGATCTCGAGTACCTTGCGTAGATAAGTTTTTATAAATATTTGTACCTTTTTGATGATGGTTGTAGTATTTCCGCAAGTTTTGGTTCCGTACAGTAGAACTGTCTTGACGTTCATATTGAAGATTCTGACTTTGATGTTGCCTGACATTTGTTTGGAGTTCCAAATGTTTTTCAACTGTAGGAATGCGGCACTTGCTTTTCCAATCTTTACCTTTAAATGTGCATCTGATCCTCCTTGTTTATCGATGATGTTGTCCAGGTACATGAGCGTTTCTACCTCCCTCAGAGTTTCTCCACCAAATGTGACTGGGTTGCTGTTCTCCGTGTTAAATTTGAGGATCTTGCTTCCCCCTTTGTATGCGTCGAGCCCTACTGATTTAGAGGCTTTTGCAACAATGATTGTCTTCATACTCATTTGTTGGTGTGTATGGGATAGAAGAGCCAGGTTATTTGCGAAATCCAAATCGTCTAGTTGCATCCAATGTGTCCATTTTATTCCGTGCTTCCCCCTCAGATGTGAAGGTCTTTATAATCTATTCAACTACCAGAAGAAAGAGAAAGGAGGAGAGTAAGCAGCCTTGTCTGACCTCGGTTCTCACTTGGAATGTGTCAGTCAGCTGCCTTCCATGTAGGACTTTGTAGTGTAGTCCGTTGTATGAATTCCGGATGGTGTCGACGATTTTCTCAGGTACACCATAGTATCATTTGTTAAAGGAGAAAACATTTACGAAACTTGAGAAATATGTATAATCATTAGGGTAGATGAGTCAGTGATTGAATGTAAAGTGTCTACTACATGCTATAGAATAGATGACACAATCGTCTAATTTAATTTTTGCTAAACCGTGCTATTACACTCTATTGAATACGGCGAAAAGTTGCCACGATTTCTCATTAGAACATTGACAATTCCTTCACGAAACTATTCACTAGTGTGTACATGATTTACAGGAACTTTAGTCGAAAATTTCTTATATTTGTAAAATATCTCTATGTGCTTATTAAGAGCATAAATTACATAAACAGTTGATTATTTTTGTAATTTCGATGGTTAAGATCATGAGTCAGTTGAAGCTAGACCACCATGGAAAACCTGAAAGTACTGGACAGCCGTTTCGTCCTATTGTGGGAACCTCATTGGCAGTGCGCATCCACGACCTCGCCCCCTGTGAGATTCGAACCCAGGACGTACCTAGTTTCGCGCGCGAGCACTTAACCACTAGACCACTGAGCCAGCATCCAACGGTGTAGATGTCTAACTTCAACTAATCCAAGAAATTCAGCGACACATCCACCATTGTCATCAGTAAGTTACTATCTCACAACAGACCTGATTGAACTCCACTGATCACTACTTCTCACTAGAACTCCAGGATGTACCTGTTGAAGACAACCATCAGTGAGCATATGTTGATTAATATCAGAAGTGGTTTTGTGGAGATTGTAGTAATTTCAATGGTTAAGATCATGGCCAGTAGGTCCTGGGTTCGAATCTCGTAGGGGCAGAGGTCATGGATGCGCACTGTTGAGGAGTACCACAGTTGGACGAAACAGCTTTGCAGTGCTTCTAGGTTTTCCATGATGGTCTAGCTTCAAGTGACTCATGATCTTAACCATTGAAATTACTACAATCTCCACAAAACCCCTTCTGATTATTTTTGTGTTGAGAGAAAAAGCAATAAGATTTTGATTGGTTAAAAGTCATCAGTTATTTTCTGTTCTCTGATTGGCTAATTATTATAATAATGGATATAACATAGAACTTTTAATTATTTATTTAAATAACATGATTGACCAAATGATCCTTTATTTCTTCCACCATTGTTTACTTCTTCTTCTTCCTCTTCATTATTATTATTAAATGAAACCCCCAGAAATTCCATTATTTGGTCGAATCATTATTGCCATCATTGTTAGTATCTTAGTATTATGTTCTACATTAGGTAATAGTCTTGTATTATGTGTATTAAATAGAAAATATTCACTATCGCAACAATCACATAAAAAGACTCAATCAATAATAAAATGTTGTGGTAAATGTAATTCATTAACAACATCAATTATTGGTATTAAACTTATAAAACGTTCAGTTACTTATATATTTCTAATTAATCTTAGTATATCGGATTTATTACATATATTAATTTGTGCACCATTTACATTAATTGCAGATTTCTTACTTATTTATTGGCCATTTGGTAATTTTCTATGTCGTCTTGTCAATTATTTACAAGGTGTTGTAGTATTTATATGCGCTTTTACTCATGTTATTATCTCTATTGATAGATTGACTGCAGTTCGTTGTCCTATATGGCGAAGACGTAAACTATCTGTTACTAATGCTAGAATGATATTATTTTTAATATGGTGTTGTGCAATGATTATACCAATACCTAGTTTAATTGTATGTCAAATTATTGTTGATGAAGATGGATTGACACATTGTCAAGAGGTTTGGTCACAATTTGATTTGAATCAATCTAATTTCAGTTATATAACAAATAGATCATTATTACAAATCTCTATGACATCATTCAATCAAAGTCAATATGAAGAGTTGAATGATTTTAATCATATTTCATTGGAATTAATTTATAATTGGTTAATTATACTACTTCAATATATTCTACCATTATTTATGATAATTATTACATATTCAGCTATTGTTTGTCAAATATGGATAACAAGTATACCTGGTGAAAAAACTATACATAGAGTTGAAAGAAATCGAACAAATAAAAAGGTACGTGTAGAGGAAGAAAATATTTTGAATATTTGTTAGTGAAGAAGAGGTTTGGTGGATATTATAGTAGTTTTAATAGTTGAGATCAGGAGTCGATTGGAGCTAGACCACCATGGAAAAACTGGAAGTACTGCACTGCCATTTCGTCTTGGTATGCGAGTCCTCAGTAGTGTGCATCCACGACAACATATGCTCACTAGTGACTGGCTTCCTGAAGTTCTAGTGGAAAGCAGTGACAAGTGGAGTTCAACCGGGTTTTTTGTGGGATAGTAACTAACTGAAGACAATGGTGGATGTGTCGCCCAATTTCGTGGATTAGTTGAAGTTAAACATTAACACAGCTGCATATCGGCCGGCTCAGTAGTCTAGAAGTCAAGCTCTCGGGCGCGAGTGATAGATCTTGGGTCCGAATCTCGTGAGGCGGGGTCGTGAATGCGCACTGTCAAGGGAGAGTCCTATACTAGGACTAAATGGCCGTCCAGTGCTTCCAGATTTACAATGGTGGTCTAGCTTCAATTGAGTTATGATCTCAACTATTAACATTTCGGTATCATTGAATAACGAATAGTAAATTGAATAATAAATCTGATACACGATTAGTTGATAAACTAATCAATTTATGTACAAGAATAAATATTAGTTTATGTCAGAGACCCTTTGATAACCAAATTAATATTGAGATGGTGAAGAAGATTTGTAGCCAAGGTGGATGATTTTGATGGAGTTTTGTTCTCTGAGCTAGATGGTTTGGTCGTGGAGCTTTCATCGTTCTTCTGAACGACATCATCAGCACAAACTTCAGATAGCAGTGAAGCGTTCGAATTTCTCCATATGCGTTTCACAGCTTGTTCTGTACACCTCGATGTTGATTGGTTCTTATCGACCTTAAATTTGCCATTGTTTACTTCTTTGTTTTGGTTGTGTCTCCCGTTGGTTTGATTTTTGTTCTTATGTTTGTGCATAATTTTCCTTATTGGTTAATAAATTAGATTGATTTCAATGTACTTGTTGATTGCTGATTGATCTGAGTGCCAGGCTCTTAAAAATTCTCTCGTGTTTTTGAAATTTCCTCTATCCAAGATTTCCACATTTTTCCAAGCCAACGAGTGTCCATGTGTATTGATATAAGTGAAGAAATGTCATGGCTCACATTATTAAGGGCTACCATCAAATGGCAATCATTTAAAACGTGAATACTGATAAAGGTGAGAGTCGAAGGGAAGAACATAATCGATTTACCATCTGTTTTGAAAGACCTTCCTTAAACAAACAACATAATTGATAGGTGTCAGAGAAGTTTTAGTCAACTCATTGGTACCACTCATCCAAGTGTATGGAGATATATATAGTACTCTGGAAAAAGAACAGAATAAACGCACTGAAAGTCGGACAGTCCGTTGCGAGAATCTAGCAACAACACTTAAATAGAAAGTATAAGTAGATGTCGTTACGTATCAAACTAGTCGTAGAAAACTACGAAAACAGATTGATACTAGACTGTCTGCGAAGAATAGAAAAAAACTTGAATTTACAAATCTAAATAAATTTTATGATGTATACAACATTTAAGTCAATATTAAATTGATGTTAACCTATTTTGATACTCTCTTTCCATGTGTTATATTCAGTCAGTTAATATATTGCTGGAATTGTTTGATTGTAGTATTAAATAACCCTTTTAAGTTGATGAGCTCACTTAGTGTCGGGGAGTCAGCGTCCTTATACCCCTCTTAGTTTATCCAAGAATATAAAAAGTAGTACATGACTTGAATGATTGAAATAAGGTTACGTAATGACCGAGGAGTAAAAAACATAATAAAATAATATCAAAAGGGGTTTTTGTGGATATTATAGTGATGTCGAAAGTTGAGATTATGAGCTAGACCTCCATGGAAAACCTAGAAGCACTGGGCGACTGTTTCGTCTTATTGTGGGACTCTCCACGATCCCGAACCGCGAGATTCTAACCCAGGGCCTATCAGTTTCGCGCGCAAACGCTTAAGCACTAGACCACTTAGCTGTTCAGCATTGAACGGTGTTGATGTCTAACTTCAATCAATCCACGAAATTGAGCGGCATATCCATCATTTGTCATCAGTGAGTTACTGATGACAGACTCGTTATTGGTTTTTTGTATCGAGCTTATAAGAATTTAAACTATGTTCAATAGTAGTTGAAAACTTCCAAGCTCGATACATATAGATGTTAAGATTATTGTTTATACAGAGACTCAAACCCAGTACCTATCGCTTCCATAGCCATCACGTTACATATCAAGCTGATGAGTTCAGATAGTCATTAACATATTTAGTCAGTAGAATGTTTATTCATTTGTATTTTGTATTCTGACATGCGAATTCACTTTATTATTATTATTATTATTATTATTATTATTATTATTATTATTATTATTATTATTATTATTATTACATATGTCAGTATAATTCTAACCAGTAATTTTAATTATATCTGAATATGTACTACATGTAATAAGAGTTTAGGATATAAGCCGAATTAAACTGTTTACTTGGATTAAATGTAATGTGTTATTTATATGAAACATATTGAATTGAAAAGATTCGATGTTGTGACTTTAAACCCGGTTAATTATCTCGTGATTTATTCGCCAATCGAAACACAACTTATGCAATCTTAGTACTTTGATAAATCAATAATGTTCGACTGATATGATTAACTTAGCGTCATTATTGATCCTTTGTCCTTCTAGATCTTCCATCTGAATCCAAAACACCAATATCAGCTTTCATTATGCCAATCGGGGCTTGGGACCGGTAGTAACCTTAGAGGAGCAATAATTTAGGAAATATAAACGGAACTAAAAGATGAGTATCCGATGAAAGTTTAATATTTTATCAATCCCTAATACCATTACACAGTATACAATGTAGGAAGTATTTTCTTACATATGTAATTCTACATTGTTTTTTAGATTGTTGAGCACATAGTCTTAGATTATCCAAAGTCAGAACAATTAAATTATTTGACTTGATAAACTATATCTGTTTTTCTAAAACGTAAATAACCACTTGGTATTGTCTGTTTGAATCTTCCCATTAATGTTTAGGACTGCGATTGATCAATCCTAATTACAAAAGCAAGTGGTTATCAGGACTCAGTAACTAAGTGGATAATGCGATAACGTTTAAAGTGAACGGTACAGGGTTCGAGCTTCACAGTGAATATGAACTCTGAGATGCAGGTGCATCCATTTGACGAGTTCCAAAGTAGGACGAAACGTGCGTCAAACTGGATTTTACTACTAGCTACTATCCATCTTCGCATGTAAATTAACACTGTGAGTATACACAGTAAACAATTAATACAGTTTACTAAACAGGGATAAAGAGAAATATAAACGGCATATTGAACAGGAGTAACTAGGGCATAGGAAAAATGAGTTAACAAAACTTAATATTGTTTGTGACAATTATCAAAGAATATGATCGGTAAATAAACAAAACATAGTCACATACAAGGTCAATTAAGGTTAATATGGTGGGTGGGCTTTTAATATTTTTATTGATAGGTTCGTTTATCTACTACACTTTGCATACAGTATGCAGTATACATACAGCTTTGATTTGTTTTAGTTGTATGTTATGCAACAGTTGGCATGACACTTATTATTTGATACATTTTTGTAGTTGAAGATAATACGCGGGTTTTTAAAAAAAATCACATTTAAACTATCAGAAGGGGGTTTTGTGGAGATTTCGATAATTTAATAGTTGAATTCATGGGTCAATTTAAGCAAGACAACCATAAAAAACCTGGAAGCGCTGGACGGCAGTTTCGCCCTTGTATGGCGCTCCTCATCAGCGGGCATCCCAGTTGGAGATTAACCCCATTGGATGTCAACTCCATGGTCTAGAGGTTAAGCGTTTGCGCGCGTGACCGATAGGTCCTGGGTTCGAATCTCGCGTGTGGGATCGCGGAATAGCAAAACGGATCTAAAATATTTATGAAATGTTATTAATTAGTTCAATGAATGATAATTTTTCATCAAGAATTCAGTTGATAGATTCACTTCATCTTATCTTTAGTTTCGTTTGCTCAGGTGACACCAATCCAATAGAACAAGTCCCTTATCAGACCTAGTTTGTTATAGAATGGATCATATGTATGAAGACTATGATATTGACTTGTTTATGTAGGCTTTCTAAAGATGGAGGGTTTGAGTGAACTATCTTTTTTTCGAATAATAGGTATATCAGAAGGAAAGGTAGTAATTCATTTACTTTTTATATGAAAAATTTATGTACTTTTGAAGAGTAGTGAGTTTCTTAGAGATATACTTCATATCATCAGGTTGGTAGTTAATAGCTATGATACCATCTGCTTACCGCCTATAAAGACAAATAATTCTAATTGTGTCTTTGGTTGCACGTACGCTACAATCAAATCAGTTGACAGTAGTCTTCAAAGGCTATCCATTATTTTGTGGCACTTACAATTTAGAGATAATTCGAATAACTTTGTGTTTAGATCTACATTTAAAACACACTGAACACAGTTCTAAATAAATTTCATATAAATTACAGTCTTCTTATGAGAGCACATCATGAACAAACATCTTTCTATATTGGTTATTTCACTGTTATTAAATCAACACTCGTGATGTTGTATAGAAGTGCTGAAGAATGAATAATAATGGTTTTTGAAGGATTAAACATGTTAAAGAACAAAGGCCGTTTTATGTAATCAGGTACAGTTTATTCTCACTTTGATCCCAACCTGGGATTTTTGATTTTAAACATGATATCGTCAATACTTTCATATTCGAGCACATGTAGGTATACCTGTATGTATGCCAAAGAATGCTCGGATGAACATCCGTGTGTTACATAGTATACATATAGACTATACCTATCCAGGATAAGTAATAACTTTAAAAACATCATTTACTTGCTCTTCTTACAATACCGAAATACGCCAAAAGACCAACGAGGTCACGGTTTCCTACGAAATCACATCCACGCAGTGGGTTTGTGTTACGCCTTCTATTTGATTAACGCAGAATACGATAAACGACTAATGGCACTTGAAAGTATAAAACCCCACAGTCGTAGATCAGAAGACGGAAGGCAGGAGAAGTGATAGTTGGGTAAGAATAAAAAATGTACAGAAAATCATGAGTATTTATAGATATTAGCGTTAGCTATAACATCATTAGGATTCAAACAATCCACAAGGAGGCACGTTAGGCAACCGTTCAGTCGTACCACGCCACGTTGATATTCTATAAAACTCCATCAAGTTCTAATTGAGTGGGAACTCTTCGGCTATTTTAGGATTTGTGGAGGCTTCATCATGCTTCGCGAAAGTCGTCCCAAAACCTAGCAAACTAAGATTTTCTCCTTGGGTTTACTTGCAGCCTAACAATTGATTTGAGGTGGTGTTTCTTTTTTTGTTGACTTTCTTATCCAAATCTTCAATCTTTTGTTATTTCCGGTATTCTTGGATGTATGTGTCGTTCATGTATCTGTGATAAACTCTAATGGGAGATTCGCCGGTTTATCTACCGTGTGCATTATTCTTTTATCGTTTTGGATTTGCTTTGTGTGTCTGATACATGTCCCAATAGCTGTTCGGACCTTATATAAAACTCTCCACAATCCTTGTACAACTGTTCCTGGTTCCCATCGATTCTTTCCGAGATATGTCATGATGAACACTTTATAGCCCACATTAAAATTTCAGATATTCGAACTTAGTCTCTGCACATCCACTGTTTTAGGTGGAAACATAGTGTTGAAAATAGTCCGAATACGTCTTCCAAACATGGCTTCAACAGGGGAATTCCTACTTCGGACGATAGGGCTCGGAGTAGTTCTGTAAGCTGTTGAGAATTTTGTGATTGCCTCTCTAGTGATCCACCGTATCATCTTTTCAATAATGCTCTTTTATAAATATGTTGAAAAAACGCTCTGTCTGTCCACTCGGTTGAGAATGATAGGGCGAAGGGTCTAGATGTGTTACTCCATCCTCCGTCCCAACAGCTTGTGAGCCTTGGAAACACAAGATTCCTTATGAAAGAACCTACATGTTTTATGTGATTAGATTGGTCAGTAGTTCAGAACCATGGTTATACCCACCATAATGATCAGCTATGGTTCATGAAATTTCCTTTAATTATGATATGTTTTTATTGGAATTTTATTAGAATTTTTTGAGTTACTGTTCTATGTAAATGAAAAGTCAATAATTTTTTTTCATATTTTTTTTGTTTGTTTCTTTGACAGCTTATCAAAATGGTAATTATCGTAGCTTCTCTATATGCGATTTCTCAATTACCAAGACATATAATCTATCTGATTACAATGAATAAACCTGATGCATTTGAAAAAGATACAATTATTTATAGTTGGTTATTATGTCAGCTATGTGCATGGTCAGCTACATGTTATAATCCAATAGTTTATATATGGATGAGTCGAACATTTCGACGTGGACTATCTGAAATATTCAATAATCTATGTGTTTGTTTAAATCTGCACAACACTACACAATCTACATTTAAACACTGTGATACACATTATTCTAGAAAAAGTAATCTATATAATAGTAAACATAATCATTATCATCATCATCATCATCAGCATCTTCAACTTCATCATCAACATAGATATTTTCCTTATTCCAATGCAGCTACTTATAACTGTAATAGTAGTAATAATAATAATATCGTGAAAAATATTAGTCATATGGAAAATGTAAAGAAACATCATGTTAAAGAAAAGTATTCATGTACTAATACTCAATATTTAAATATGAAAATCAAGACGAATAATAACATAACAAATAATCAAGACAACGAATTCAATGGTGTTATATCCCGATGAGAATTGTGAATGGGTACTGTTGGGATCTATTCATCATCATCATTAAGATACATATACTTTTATTGTATAATTGTTAAGTAACTAAACTATTCATATTTATGTTCCTTTTATTATCAGCTTTATTTTAACCCATAGATTATTATTATAAGATTTATCATTCTTGAATCATGTCCAACTCTATTCATTACAGTCTCCCACATTTACAGCCATTTTTGGCTAAATCTTGTACAAATATGATGTGATCTGTTTGGTTTGTATATAAACCGAGTATGTTTAAAATACATGTTCTGGATTCAACAGTCAGGACCGATAAGGAATCTAGACTACTCTAATGGGTTTATTCGTCATTGGTCCGGTCGATAATTCATTGTTCTCCAATTGGCCGTATCATTACATTATATATAAATGCGGCTCAAAGTCATAAGTTATAACAAGTGATAATTTGAACTATATTGTAAGTGTAAATGAAGCAAGTTCATTATTATTCACAAAAGAAATCGAATTCATAATATTTCAAGGACTCTCATCAACTGTAAACGGCTCGAATTTGCAATCACAATATGTTATTACATACTAAAACTACTGAAGTTTAGTTAGAAACGAGCTGAGAAATAAAAGGGGAATAATATATTTAAGAAATTAGATTAGATTGATTAGTATTTATCTGTTGAAGATGGGGTTAAACAAAGTGTTAAAGATGTAAACGATATCGAAGAAACAGTGAATTAAAGTAAACTATCAAACAATTATGATCAATGATAATATTCAACTGTTTATAATTGTTAGTTTTCTACTAAACTATGTGACAAATAGTTTAGTATCTTACCAGACCCGTTCAATTGCAATTATTAACAGATTTTATTTAATATAATAGTTGGATTTGATGATTCAATGAAAGCTAGAGCACAATGGAAAAGCTAGAATCATATGACAGGAGTCTTGTCCTAGTGTGCTGTGAGCTACTTATATTGACATAAGTAGTATATGATGTTATTCGTGAACAGAATGTCTGGCAGCAGAGAGACAAGAAGATCAAACACTAAAGAATGAAGACAGACAATTTGTATGAAGATGCAAGAACAATGAAGTCTGAGTCATTTTGAGACAATTGATGGACTTTTTGCAAATTGAGCATTTATTATATGGTTGCTAGATTTTATTATCAAGTACTGTAATTTATTATCAAATACATTCGATTATCCCGATTAGTGTTCTTGTTCGCTACACTAGTATGGCACTCTTCAGCAGTGAGCATCTATGATATCGCTCGCAGGATCCAGTGTTCCCAAATATTCCATTGAGTCTGACTTTAATTGACCAATCAAATTCAACTGTTGAATTGGTAATGATTTATTGAGATCTTATCACTATACATGAATCACGATAGACTAGTTATAACACTCGGTTCTGCTTTGTCTACACTTATGGGACGTTAGTTTACCTTAGACGAATATCTACTCTAGATTCCTTCCCAGTGTCTATTCTACAACACTTCAACACAACTCAGATCAGTAAGATGTGATTAACCTGACTAGAATGTAAATATATTTCCACACCAAAACCCGACAACAATCCAATAACAGTGAAAAATTAATAATAAGGATAGGAGAATATATATATAACTCATCTAACTCCTGTCAGACTATCTACATGTCTGACTAAGCAAACAATCAATCATTGTGATTCTTTCTCCAACACATCATATTTGTTATGATTTGATGTCCGGCTTGCGATCACGTGACTTACACACCAATCAGAATACGGCTTATACGAATATTCGCACTATGACAAGACCAATGACGTTCAACCGGTCTGAGCAGTCTAGCGTCCTATTGGGTCTTACGTCCTTCTAACCCGTCCTCTTGAGTCCAGAACACAATACCAGCTTCTGAATCAATCAAATCGAACCAAAATCGAACCAAATCATTTATTTCAGACATACTCGATTTATATATCAATCAGGCAGACCACAACGTACCATAAAATAGAAACTAACATGTGTACACAAATAAGCCAAAAAGTGGCTGTGAATGTGGGAGACAGTAATTAATAAACTGAGCATAATTTAGGGACAGTAAATCGTACAATGATAAATTATAGGTCAAAGTGAAGCTTATGATAAGGGGAATATAAATATACATAATCTAACTATTAAATAATTACACCGTAAGAATATATAGATAATATTAGTCAATTAATGTCTCAGAAGTTACTCGTGATTTAATCTTCACTCTGATAGAACAATATTACTTTTAAGTTATTTCAGTACTATATAATTAAAGTTTCTTTATTTTAATTTTTCATCATAACTATTATTTTACTAGTGAACTATGTATAGATAGCTGATGCTAAAAATATCTTTTGAATATTATAATCTAACAAAAATTACATACATTTATTTATTTATACTTAAAAGTACACTGTTACTAGAAGTTCAGCTGACGAGTCATAGATAGGACGAAACGCGTATCTTAGATTCCACTTCTAGCCTCTATTTATTCTTGCTTACACACAAGTTTATTTATTAAATGATTATAATTTATAACTTAACTTAGATCAACTTTAATGTTCATTAGAATTGATCATAGTGAATTCAATAAATTTGTAGTTTATTGATAAACGGTTTTTTAATGGTCATGATGACTGTATGAAATTGGAAGATGTTAATTTACAAATTAATTGATGGAAATTCATAGATATATATATATATATATATAGCTTGTTTAATTGACTTGGATAGTCAATCAGCAAATGGATTGATTATTCATGAAGACATGAGAAGGTATATTTGTAAATCTCTTTTTTTTTCTTTCTTTCTTTCTTTTTAAATTCACTTGGTGTTGTCTGCTTGAACCTTCCGATTGTTGTTTGGACTGAAGAAGTTCAGATAAATTGAGATAGCTAATAGCTAACAGTTTATAGTTACTGATGAATTGTAAATGTTGTTCTATTCCCAATCATAAGATAATACAATGAATATAATATGTACATTATCAATACTGAAAGAGGATAATTTTATTTAGATTCAGAACTAGTTCATAGTTATAGTATACTTGATTTACTTGATTTATCCAGTGACATCAAAATTATATTACAATTTAAATATCATCAAATTCACTTGGATATAATACTTCACGAAGATTATCCGTATCTAGAATGCAACTTCTTAACCATCTATATATCACTAAACTAAGAAAAAAACAAAAAAAATAAACAAAGATAACATGGTATATTTGTAATATCAGTTATGTTATAATGATACAAAGTATTCACAGTGAAGTTGTCTATGCAAAATACTTTGGATCTGTTGGCCAGACACTATCAGTATTACCAACCTACTGTTGGAAAGAACAAACCAGATTTCAGCGAAGGAAGAAATCAGGAACAAGCGCTGGAAGTGGATAGGACACATATTGAGGAAGGTAAGCCCTCATTTGGAATCCTCAATGTCAAAGGAGAAGAGAAAGACCAAATACACATTACACCGCGAAATGGAGCCGAACATGAGAAGAATGAACAAAAATTGGATAGAACAAACAAAGAAGGCCCATGACAGAGTTGCATAGAGGATGCTAGTGTATGACCTATGCTCCTCAATGAGGGGTAACAGATGCAAATAAGCAAGTAATTTACTGTGAAGTTGCTCCTTTAATCACATACATCTTATGTCCGTTTAATAAAACAGTTAAATTCATCATACATCTTGTAGGTGTATAATATATTTTCATTTTCTTGTTCTGAGATAGTAATAATTCATCAGTGGGAAATTTCAATATATTAACCTACTTTAAGTGAACTGATCCCAAATAGGCATCTTTTTGAACTACTACCAAAACAATTGACAAACAGTGCATCAGACAGAACTTGTATAACCTTACAATGACATTCGTGTACATTTGAATAATATAAAAGCATTCAAATTTCATTATTGTTCATAGCATCAGCGGTAATTTAAGATAAGCTGAAGTTCTGCTAACTATTAATGTCCTATAGTTTACTGACAGAGTATTTAGTTGGTAAAGTATGAACATTACGTTTTCGAAAATTGCTTTTTATAATTAGTGGTTCCTGAATGGGATTCTATGCAAATCACTCCTATGATCCAACTTTCACATTAATTTGTTAACGTAAGCTTCATCAATGTAAGTTGCTACAATGAAATCCTTAGTAGACACGAAGTGACCATTTGTCTTCATTTCAAGAGTTTAACGAAGAAAATTCAGAATATTGGACTGATGTTCTACAGGTAGGAGCAGATCTCGGAAATCAAAACCTAGTGGTATATTCTCGACTGTGGCATCAATTGATTCATATATGATTCAGTGTCTCAAATGTTACGTTAAATATCTAATCAAGTTAAGGTAATTAAACTTAAACAAATTGAACTTTCAGTGATTTATGACAGTTTATAAATAATCATAATACCATATCCGTTCAATAACCCATTATATAAAATCCATACACTAAAACATCTTTATAAATATATAGACATGTAGTAAACTTACTATAAGTCAAAGTAGAATACTCTGAAAAATGTAAACTGATGGTGTACATAGAGATATTGACTAGCACTGGAATCCACGATACGCGTTTCATCCTGTTTGGGACTCGTCAGCTGGATGTATCTGCATCGCAGAATTAATGTTCACTCCGGGACTTAAACCCGGTACCGTTCGGTTCAAACGCGATTGCGTTATCCACTTCGAGTTCTGGAGTGAACATCAACTCTGGGATGTCGGTAAATCTAGCTGACGAGTCTCAAATAGTACGAAACGCGCGTCAAACTGGATTTCACTGCTAGCCACTATTCATCTTTGCTTAAAATGCTTATGACTTAAAGCTATATCGAGGCAATCCGCACAGGATGCACATATGCCAATAAGAGACTGAACAATTGCAGTGCTAAATATCAATGGGAAGATACAAGTAAAACAACACCAAGTGATGGTGTATATATTTAACATTATAACGGTATTTGTTAATGAACTGAATAATATCTACTTAGTGACAACGATAAAGATTTGTAACTCCTTAATGTTACCCATTCATAATATACATTATGTTGTTAAGGTATTAGTGATGTTAAGCAAACTGTAAATAAAAAAATGTTAAATAATTTTGAAAAAATGGTAAATCGATGTGAAAACCTTTTTTTAAATATAAACGTTTATTCTATCTGTGAGGACCGCCAACGGATGAACTCAAGAAAACTCTGAGAAGCTCAGAAAGAGCCAAAGACATTCCATCCAATCATCTTTTGGAAGAATATCCCAGAATGCATACGTGGAGCTTCCCTATTGGACAAATGTTAATAACCCCCCTGTATGCGGATTAGAGGATTATAATGATGATTTTCGTTTTTACTAAAAACTATCAATACCATAATTGACACTGTTTGGAATAGCATACCTTTCATTTATCCTCTTTCCTCTCATTTGGGATTTGGAGGGTTCTAGCGTTCAAGTGCTCAAGTTGTACATGGTTTGTTAAGAATCTTAGCTCTAGATATAACACTATCCACACAAGGCTGCGAATATGCTATTAGTACATAAAAACTATAGTGAATAAAATGTGTTATTTTTTATTTTTTTTAGAATTAATATTGCTTAACATTAAGGCGTTTTTCATTGATAAAGGCAGTGAATATTGTTGGAATGTCTGATAAATTATTGAGTAATTCCGTTCTTATACTTCATAACTGTTACTATACCTCAGAAAATGGGCGAACCAATCAGATTTAGGATAATACATCTTGGAGTTTAGCGCGAAATTCATTCATCCATTTGGGTGAATAGAGGTTTGATATTATAGATGATGTGAGTTCGTGATGAAAACCCTAAATATAATCCCTATCCTTAACCATTAATTGTAAACCACAATCCTCATCCTTCACACAGTTTTAAAATCTTCATGTAGTCCTAATTAATAGGAGAATATTCTCAAGGTCACTTTAGCGTTTCTCAAAGGTCGTCCATAAATTATTACCTCACTTTCATTTCTAAGTTATAAAATAAGATAAAAACAGATTTCTATTAAACTGTGAATGATTACTTACCCACTTTTTACTCGATTTACAATTCTGTAAATTATTAACTTGTGTATTCAGAGAGGGGTTTGGTAGACATTGTAGTAAATTAATAATTCAATTCATGAGTCAATTGAAGCTACACCACCATGGAAAACCTGCAAGCACCGGATGGCCGTTTCGTTCTATAGTGGGACTTTTCCTTGGCATTGCTGATCCATGATCCAGGATCGCGAGATTCAAACACAGGATCTATCAGTCTCGCGCACAACGAGTTAACCTCTAGACGAGTCAACTTGTTGGTATCCAGTGGTGTTAATATCTAACTTCAACTAATTCACGAAATCGAGCAACACATTCACTATTGTCTTAAGTGAGTTACTATCTCACAACAGATCAAGTTGAACTCCATTAGTCACTGCTTCTCACTAGAACTCCAGGAAATAACTCTTGGTGACAGTCACTAATGAGCATACAACAATTATAATCAAAGAGGAGTTTTGTGGAGATTTTAGTGATTTAATAATTGAATTCATGAATCAATTGGATCTATACCATCATGTGAAACCTGTTTTATATTAGACATTACTTGATTTTATGATAAGTTATTAATGAACTGTAGTAAATAAATAAATAATCTATTTGTAATATCCCAATGAGTAGAAAAATTAGATTTTCTGACGTTTCGTGACTTAGTGTAAGTCACTTCTTCAGAGAATAAATAACCAAATTAAAACTAATCCAAGTTTAAACTATTCATTAAGCAAAGAATATCTTCAGTATAATAAACAAAGATGTTTGCATAACTTTAGAATCTATTTGATATTACAAAGTGTATTCAGTGGGTTTATTTTTTTAAAAACTGTGCATTATGTCTTGGTTTCCTTTATCTCGAAAAATGTCAACAGCTTTCTTGCTTCTATCTAACGTTCATTATATCTTTCGAACACATTATCAATAAGGAAAGGATCTATTGAAACATGAAATATAGAATATATTGACTTGGATAAATATTTAACACTAGTTAACACTAAGCAATGATGGATACTAGGTAGTAGTGGAATGTAGGATGCGCGTTTCGACCCATTTGAGATTCGTCAGCTGGATGTACCTGTATCAAATAGCACGAAACGTGTGCTTAACTGAATTCCACTGCTAGTAAAGCTTATAAAGCTTGTTATTTCAGTTAATATGGGAGCAATACGCACAGGATGCACATATGCCAACATGAGACTGATTTCAGAAAATTATTTTGACCAAAACAACAGGTTTAGAAATACTCACTTGTCCCATATCGATTTTAAGAAACTAAAATTCAATATGAAGCGTCAAAAACATAATGGTAAATGAAGTTGGATAGATTATACAAATTAAAAATAACTGCCTAAATGTCACTGGTATTGACGACATCATTACAACTCTGTCACAATTTCTAGTTGGTAATTAAACCGAAAAGATTTGACTAACTTGGAAAACTGCACAATTATGTAATCATCAGATTTCTTAATGAGATGACTTATTTCATTCACACAATGTTATGTAATCCATAACAATGTAAAATATTACAGTGATTTTAAAGATGGATCCCTATTGATTGGAAGGTGTGAGTTTACTGTTCGTAAGGGACATGGAAGATTTGCATATAAAAGTGTAATGTGAGCAAACTTACTGGTGGTTGCTTTTCAGTGTTCTCAAGGGCCATTGTCATTGGGACATTCTAAGGCATGTCACCATTGCTAACATGAATAAGTTTGACTGTTGTGTAAGCGGAATAAGTCAACTTCGGCTTGTTCGTGCTGTGCATAACTGATTCACGTGATCATTGATTGGAATAATTGTACATGTGATGGTCCAGCAGGGTGCTTAGTACCTATGTGGTTGCGCCAGTGGAATGAGCTGTACTATTCAGATTGTAGCGTTAAACCCTATATGGTTTCAGGTTTTCCTGGAAACAGGATTGAGCCGTACTATTTGAGCTACAAATTTTAAGCCTGGATAGTATCCAGTTCTCTTGAAAACTAATGTAAAATTATCCTGGCCCACAAGGGTATATTACATAACTGTGAATTCAAATAAACAGATGGAGTACTCTATGAAAAAAAAGGAAACTTACCCCGCATCACCTATTATTTAGAACAAAAAGTAATAACAAAAATACCTCATAGTGTCATTGAAGAAGAATGAAAGGCAATTCATTAAAAGTAATTACCTTTTAGACATTGTTATTTAATAAGCTACGTAACCACATTTACAGTTAATTAACAACTAAAGTGTATGTTGAAGCATAGAAGAATGATTAAACCATAGTATGAGTAATAATAAAGTTTCTGAATGATCAAAAATTTGATGAAAGGGGATAAGATAATCCTGAGGGGCAGGATCGTGGATACACACTGCCGAGGAGTCCCATACTAAGACGAAACAGCCGTCCAGTTCTTCCAGATTTCCCTTGGTAGTTTCTCAGAATAATATTGAGAGATGAGTTTAGAAAGTGATCACTTTGTGCGATCAATGTAACTTGCTTTAAAAAAACCGAATGAATTTATCAATACACATTCATGTGATCCAAACAGTGTAGTTAGTTTCAAGCCATCGACAAAAGATGAGGAAGCTGAAAAAAACAATGACAGCTTACAAATAAAAGAGTTTTGTTCTCTCAAAGCTTTCACTAGATAACTTTTCAAGTTATGGTATGCTTCCAATGAACTAAATAGATCTTTTTCATATAATGTATTTTGTCCGTAATCACACTACCTTGAATCTACATATTTAAACGTATTATCATTTTAAGCAAAGATAGATTGTGGCTAGCAGTGGAATACAGTTTGACGAGTGTTTTGTCCTAACTGGGACTCGTCAGCTGGATGTGCCTGCATATCGGATTGGATGTTCACTCCGAGACTCTAATCCAGTATCATTCGTTCCAAATAGAACGAAACGCGCGTCAAACTGGATTCCACTGCTAGCCACTATGCATCTTTGCTTGGAATGCTTATGAATTAAGGCAATATCGAAGCAATCCGTACAGGATGCACATATGCTAATCAAAGACTTAGCAATTACAGTCCCAAAACATCAATGGGGAGGTTCAAGTGAACAATATGAAGTGTATTATCATTATTTAGCTAAAATGATTGATACTGAGTTTTCATTCTGATCAGGTTAATTGAAAGTTGATTTTGGATTCCTTTTATTATTTCCATGACAAAGTATAACCAAAGAAATCTGGATACAGACCAAGTCTCACTAAGTGGTTGATTTAACATATACTTAATGAACATGACCTTTTAATGAATCAAATGAAAATCTGAAGAATATATGAACTAATAAAATCGTAGATTAACTCCGTCTGGAGCCCATCTTGGGCTACTACCGGTCCCAAGCTCGGATAAAGAAAGAAGACTGGGCATGATTAAGTTAACATTGTATATCGAATAACATTACAACAGTGCCTTTTAAATTGCTAAATAATCTTATGACTGAATGTTAAGAACACTACTCTGTGTATTCAACCCATCGGTTGTAATTGCATGCCATGTTCCAGTAAATCAGACATCTCTTCTTTAGACATGGATATTATATGAATATTAGATTGATTCAAAGTATCTATCATGATTATTTCTATTAATGATTACCAATCACATATCAATTAGAGAATTTATATTCAGTATTACCAATGGACACAATATATTACCTATAACTGAATAGGATATATTTCCTTATGAATGTCGTCAATGAACTTACATGATTTGAGCAATATAGAAATTATTGACAAAATGAGTAAATACTGACCAAGTCTAAACATAAGTACGTTTAGTAAACAATTAGGTACTTTATATTTTACAATTTTGTTTACACATACACACACACACACGCAAATAAAAACAACAAGATTACGAATATACAGTGGAACTTATATTATCAAATCTATACACTTAAAGTGTTATTGAATGATTATCTCAAGTGTATTAATTCGATTTCATACTTAAGTATGTTTGGTTCATTACAATTTAATTAGTTATGTAAAACTTGATTCTTAAGATTCATTACAATTATAATAGTTGAGATCATGAGTTAATTGAAGCTAGATAATCATGGAAAACCTAGAAACACTGAACAACCGTTTCGATGGTCTCCAAGGTGTATTTCCCGAAGTTCTAGTGAGAAACAGTGACCAGTTGAGTTCAACTAGTTCTGTTGTAAGATAGTAACTCATTGAAGACATTAGTGGACGGTCGCTCAATTTCGTAGATTGGTTGAAGTTAGACATTAACATCTTTAGATGTCGGGAAGTTCGCTGGTCTAGAGGTTAAGCGTCCGTGAGTGAAACCGATAGGTCGTGGGTTGGAATCTCGCCAATCGTGGATGCGCACTGTCGAGGAGTCCCATACTACGACAAAACGGCTGTCCACTGCATCCAGGTTTTCCATGGTGGTCTAGCTTAAATCGACTCATGAATTCAACCATTAAATTACTACAATTTACATTTTACATCTTCACACTTGTTCTTTTACTTAAAGTGTTATTAAGTTATTTTCTTAAGTACATTAATTCGATTTCATAATGAAACTTAAGTTTATAACAAGAGATAGTGTAATTAATTCTTAATATGAAACAATGTAATTAAGTAAATATTTTTCACTATTTTATTATCTGGTTGAAAAAAGTGTGAAACTGTTTGAACACTTCACTTCTACCTGAAGTTTTTGATGATGATGTCGTTCAGAATAACGTTGAAGGCTCCATAACCAAACTACCCAGTCCAAAGAACAAAACACCATCAAGAGTGTGAAACTGTCAAGTCCTCATTTAAAACTAAGTAAGCTCAGTGGTCTAGTGGTTAAACGCTAGTGTGCGAGACTGATAGATCCTGAGTTCGAATCTTGCAAGATGGGGTAGTGGATTCTCACTGCTAAGGAGTCCCACAATAGGACGAAACGTCCGTCCATTGCTTCCAGGTTTTCCACATTGATCTAGCTTCAATCGACTTATGAGTTTAACTACTAAATTACTATAATATCCACAAAACCCCTCTTTGATTAGTAATGTTTATAACCAACGATACTGGATCCATGACATATGTTAGCTGTTGTGTATATTAACCATATTTTGTCCTATTAAAACCCCAATAAATGTTATTTCTGAAAGTATCTAAGTCTAAATAGGTTATTTAGGTTTTGTTTATGTTAAATAAGTTCTCATTTCAAATTTAACATAAATATGTTTCGACCTATTTCAGAATATATGGATTGAAAACATAAATGTTATAACGGTTGGGTTTCCACGTCAACATGTATGGAACGTTAATTTACCTTAGACGAATATCTACACTAGATTCCCTCCCACTGTCTATTCTACAGGACTTCAACCCAACTCAGATCAAGAACACGTGATTAGCCTGACTAGAATGTGAATATATCTCCACACCAAAAACCTGACACAATTCAACAACAATCAAGGGGTGGAATTATATAACTCATCTAAGCCCTGTCAGATTATCTACATGTTTGACTAAGCAAACAACTATTCATTATTAGTCTCACCCACCCATCAATAAATGAAAAAATCTATTACGGAACGATCAAAATTGTTTAATTTAGTCGACATAAATTACTAACTTGATTTGATCTAAAGTGAGATGGTATCTGACTACAGTTAATTTACGATATCAACCATAACCATTAGAGGATTAGTCACTTGCAGAAACCCGGCGGGATTTTGGATGCATACTATTGAAGAGTCGTACAATGGAACGAAATGGCCGTCCAGTGCTTCCAAGTTTTCCATGGTGGTCTAGCTTCAACTGACTCATGAACTCAACTATTAAATTATTATAATAGCCACAAAACCCCTCTCGGATTAAAATTCTTTTATATTTGAAAATAATATGGAATTCTTGAACCATTTATTCACTAGGTGTGGACGATTCATCTTACAAAACCAAACAACAATATCGTCTGAATACGTTAAAGGATTCATTCATTCAATTATACGTGTTATCAATCATGTTGACCACCTAAAGTATAGACACCAACTTAAAACATTGTTATTACTGATTATTGATTGAGTAGTTGCAAATACACTGTTGGATAGAAGATGGTTATTACCAAAGATTGGAATCAGGAGAATACATAATGAAAACAAGCATTTATCGAACATCTCCAGTACCGTTCATCAGTTTTGAGTTTAGATTTCCAATGGAACTGTATTAGAAGTAAGAGACATTATGAATCAGTAGAAAGTGATTTCTTATCAATCACTGAGGAGAATTGTCTCTTAAAGAAGCATTTCCGTATATTTTAAAATCCAATATGCGTAATTCATCCTATTGTTGTCTGATCTGTGAAATGGAACTTCACCGGTGTGGCGTATTAGTTATTCTCTATGATCAAAATACCAATTCAAATTGACATATACACAAAACAATGAGTATTTATTATTGATTCACCTTATAGCTGCTTCATAATCATTCACGTCAATTCATTCTGTACTTGTTGCTCATGAGTAAATACCTGGTTACATGTCCAGTAACTTCAACAAGATAATTAGTTTACTAAGGTATCTTAATAACTGTCTGTTAAGTTTATGTTTCCCCTCCAAACTTCTACAAACCGTGAGTGATCTCAGATGTATGTTTCCTATTGCATGTAATTCCATTACTACTGTTACCACATCGACGTTGACTGTAATAGTATGGAAAAGTAGGAAGTGTTGTGTGAAGTTGTTTCTTTGTGTTATGGGACTACTCTGAAGTAAGTATTGATTATTCATGAAGGAAAACAACGTGAATAGTCTTACTGTGAACACCTGGACAATGATGATTATTTCTTATTTGTGTTCATTTGTTTTGTAGTGCTATTATTCGAGTCTCTTAATCTCTTGTAATATTTAAGCCCTAAGTCACCACTTTTCACTGCAACCGTTAAATCACGTGGTAAAGCATGTGATTGATTGTTATCATGAATAGATTAATCTTGCCGTTGATATTCACTGACCGCTTTTATCATTTGAGGTATCAGTTTATCGTGGATTATATGAAAGATAAGATTGTCGAAATTCTCAATGTATTGGAATTTATTGTATAAATAAAGATTTAAACTAGATTCTAAAACTAATTGAATTTTTCTACCTAAATGCCTTAGAAATATTGCTTAAATCTACTGGGATTACCAGACTCTGGGTATTAAAGAATGATGGTAAATCAGTTGATGAGGTTGTGAATCTTCATCGACTACGATGGTTGGTTGACGTGTTACGTATGCTTTAACACCGATTACCATGACACGCAGTGCTGACTAGTGTTAGGGATGGTTGGAAGGAAGTTAAAGGCGGTCAAACCAAAACGTGGCATTAGTCCTTGAAGTCACTTATTACATCTTAACAATAGAACAATCTTTATTGTAATATTATATGAATATTAACAATTTAAAATGTAGAATATATGTTCATCAGATTATGTAACAATATTGATTCATATTGATTTATTCTTCTTTTATATTCAATATGTTTCATTAGGAAACAGTGCTGCTCTCCATAGGGATCCCTTAAAATAGCATGATTCAAGCCAGATTAAAATAAGTTCACTAGATAAATACAATGAAAGTAAATCTATTAATTAATTATAAAGAAATATTCTTACAATTTTGTTCATTATGTATATGAATTAAAGTTAATGAGTTCTGTTTGTTGAGCCCTATGAAAGTTGCATTGTAGTGAACGAGAATAACAGTGATTTAGTGGTTTCCTTACGCCTGTTACTCCTGGTGGAGGAGAATGGGCCGCCTACTAGCACTCTCCATTCAACTCTGTCCCAAGCAATCCTTTCCAGCCCTTTCCATTCATCCTTTGCATACTTGCTCTATGTCCCAACGTAATGAGTTCTTTGAGCTTCCTCTTTTCCGCTTCCCTTCAAGATTCCATGTTAGGGCTTGACTCGTGATACAGTTTTATGGTTTTCGTAATGTATGTCTTATCCATTTCCATTGTCTTTTCCTAATTTCCTCATCGTCTGGAAGCTAGTTTGTTCTATTGCATGGTAGGCTGTTGCTATTGCTCCAAGTTTCAGCTGCGTATAGTAGAATTGTCATATTCAAGATTCTGACTTTGGTAGTAGTTGAAATACATTTGTTTTGATTTCTATATGTTCTGTAATTGCACAATTGCGGCCCTTGCTTGATCAATCCTCACCTTTACGTCTGTATCCTATCCTCCTTGTTTATCGATGATGCTTCCCAGGTACGTGAAAGTTTTCACATCTCTCAGAGTTTCGCCATCAAGTGTGATTGGGTTGGGGTTCTCCGTGCTGTATATGGAATACTAGTGGGGGACAACCAAATATACTTTAATACAACATTACAGAATCTCTTAGTAAAATCTTAGAACCATATAGTGATTAGATGGAATTAGATGTAGCATACAATCGTGGATGCGCACTGCTGAGACGAAATGTCCGTGCAGTGCTTCCAGACTTTCCACGGTTGTCTAGCTTGAATTGACTTATGAATTCAATTAATTAATTACTACAATCTCTACAAAAACCTCTCTGATTATAATCATTGTATGCTCATTAGTGACTGTCACCAAGAGTTATTTCCTGGAGTTCTAGTGAGAAGCCATGACCAGTAGAGCTCAACTGGGTCTGTTGTGAGATAGTAACTCATTTAAGACAATAGTGAATGTGTTGCTCGATTTCGTGAATTAGTTGAAGTTAGATATTAGCACCACTGGATACCAACAAGTTGACTCGTCTAGAGATTAACTGGTCGTGCGCGTGACTGACAGATCCTGTGTTTGAATCTCTCGAGTCGGGATCGTGAATGGACACTGTTGAGGGTTCTGATTTATCTGTTATATTACATCATATCTG